CTAACTTTTATGGTCATTGCTGGTGTTTCCTTGATAGGCCTCCTCCTGGCTTGCTCATCCCATTGCGACATCCTGCAGTCTCTCCTGAATTTCTGAGCAAAAAGGGAGAGGGAAATTCTGTAGGAGATAGTTTGGGCACAAACCCTCTCCCTTCCTTTCTTCTCTGCTCTTAGCCTACACCTTCCAGGTTCCTTGGGCAGTGCCAATCCATGTACTTTAGATTGCAGCTCCTGGGGACAAGGGCATATCTGTTAGCTGCTGAGCACTACCCCAGCTCAGACCCTGGGAGACCAAGCAGGCTGCATTGATGCAGAAACTGCAGCTCAAGGATTAGGTGGGCAATGGGCACAGGACCTGGCTGGTGTATCAGGGAAGCGCAGCAAAAGCAAGCCTGTGGGCATTGCTGCCTGGCCAGCACTTGCCCCATGTTCCCTTTGGTTGTGTCCTTCTTGGTCTAGACACACATTGTACCGTGCAAACCCTGTAGTTTGGCTCCTCTGTTAACTCTTCTGGCAAGACAGATCTTTCTGTTCGTATCAGTTCATGGGCACGTGATAGGACTCGATGGAAAGTGAGCTGAGGTTAGTAATTTGACGCGACAGCCGATATTGGGCCTAGACTGCATTTCCCATTGGCCAGGGCTTAGCTTCACAGAGCTTTTAAGAGTATTTTTAGTCCCCAGAAAATAAAAGAGAAACTAAACCTGACTCTGTGTGCTGTTGCCTCTGCATACTCGGCTATTTTTACTTCCGACAGACTGGGCCTGAGTCCAGCTTTTAAAAAAAGCTGGAATTATTTTACTTCCATTAAGAAAAAAAAAACCCAAATCCTGATGTTATCAAGTCAGCAAGGGGACATCTGATCCCAAAGTTGTTGGACAGACATCTCTTCGAGGGGCATGTCAGAGAAATGCAGGGAGCTTGAACAGATCAGCAGATCAGCTCTCCCACTGCAGAGGTTTGGTGCTGGCACAGACCTCTCTGCAGGAGCACTTGGAACACGAGTGGCACCCACAGGACGCTTAGAAAACTGATATCCCTACCCTGGGCAGGATGCTGTGCCAAAGAGTCCTGTGCAAGTCCTGGCTCTGGCCTCTGCAGTGCTAGGTCAGACAGCCTCAGGCAGGCCGGGAAGCTGAGTGTGCTGCTGGTGAGCTGGGACTCAATCCCTATGGCAGACACCGGGGTCAGGCCCACAGCTAGGTCAGACAAGGTGCCAGGACTCTTATGCAGGGTCCCTCAAAAGGTAACAAGTTTCAGTGTGCTTCCTTGCAACACAGGGGAGAGGGAGGAGAGGGGATGTTTCCAGCACAGATAGCCTTCATTTTCAAAGAAGCAGCTGCCAGAAAGGTAAGTTATCAAGGGGTGGTACTTCCCCAACTTTGCCCTATACTGTTGCATCTCACATTGTGTACGTAAGCCCTTCCTTCTTTGCTGCTCTAGCAGCCCCTCCTTGCTGATACTGTGAGGAAGGAGGGTCCAGGAGTGCCTATGCTGGTGACAGTTTTGTAGGATGAGTGCCTTCTCTCCTGGGAACTGACCAGTTGTGATCCATGTGAGAAATCAGTTTGTGCAGGAGCTGGAAGGCAACTGCTCTCTCTTGCTGCTGTCTTGTTGTCAGGCTGTGGCACCAGACCCTATGTAAGAGTCTTCAGTATGGACCAGCTGCATCTCGTAAGTGGCTGCTGCACCCTGCAGTTAAAAGTCAGGTGGCTGCACGTTTGGTGTGAAATCCGTGCTTAGTGTATGTACCGCTCAGCCTTGCTCCAGCTCTCTCTCTCATCTCCCTTCTCCTTACACTCTCTCACTTCCATTCATATCTTTTTACAGCCCTCTCCATTTCTTCTCTACTGAGTGCTTTCCTCCATGCTGCTTCTCTGAGCTCACCCACTGCACCTCCCCACTCCATTTTAACATCCTTTAGTGTCCCTCTCAGAGCTGCATTGTAACCAGCCTGCGTATCTTAAAATCAACCACCGAGGAAATCAAAGTAGAACTGCAGGCATTAACAAGCTACCTGAATACCACAGCTCAGTACCAGGTCCTGATTTTTGGCTGTGCCCTTTTCTTCCATCTAGATATGACCCATTAGGCTGTCAGATCTTTGGGAAGGGATTTTGCCACAATGCTTATGCCTGGAGCGTCACAGTCAGGGACTTAGGGGTTGAAACGCTTTTGTTTGCTGTAGCACCTGCAGGTCGCTGCGCTCAGAAGCTGGCACTGGGATGCACTACGTAGGGGTCAGCCTATTCACTGGCTCTGCATCTGGAGCACTGTTGACAGGGTAGAATAGTGGTTCTGCAAATGCTGATTGAAAACATTTGCCTCAAGGAGTATTGCACAGGATGAGGAACTAGAGGAGGACAAACACTTCCTCAAAATTAACAAGCCAAAGTCCTTGGGCAAACACACCTCTATCTGCTCATTGAGGGAAGGAGGGATGGAGGGTAAATCTCTCTGCATCTCTCTTATCTTTTTTTAATGCACTTAAGTCCTTTGTGTCCTTATAATCTGATTGATGGTCTCTAATACTGCTGCAACCTGTGCAGCCGTCCCTCTGCCAAGCACTGGAGGATGGCATGCTTCTCCTTGGGAGAAGGAAATGAGCTCCTTCCCCCATTTCCTCCCTACCCCGCCCAGTCCCCCCTCTGTGCTGCTTATCAAGCTGCACAGCAAAAGAATCCTGGAGGGCTGTGTGTTGGTTTCTCCTAGAAATAGTGTCTCCCTGCACTAATGACATCCTACCCACTGGCATGAGGGTATGGACCCCCCTGTGACCCTTGTTCTGCAAAGGTCCTGGGGAGCTGTGATTCAGGCCTGAAGTCCATAATCTTTAGTGTATTACTGACCCATTTAGTTTTCACACCTGGTTACTTGGTTTACTGGCAGTTCCTGAAATTTGTGTCTCTCCCTCCTCTCCTGGCTTATAGGTAGGTGTCATTCACTCAGCAGAGCACAGAATAGAGGTCTTCTTTCTTAGGAAACCAGGACACATTCATAGAAGGAGAGAAACCATGGATGGAAATGAAAGTTTCCTGCTTCGTCCAAAACTTTATTGGTGCTGTTCCTCAGGAATCTCCCTAGGTAATCCCAGGTTGGGATTCCCTGGCTGCCCTTTCTGAAATCACTCTCTGGAACATGTTGGGGCTCCTAGGAAGGAGTCCTGCCCACAGGCTATGGAGGTAAAAGAAGCAATGGGCAACATTTTCAGAAACACTGCCATGTAATGGAGGTACTTATGCTTAGGGATGTGCGAAAATTCTTCACACAGAGTCAGAAACAGAAAATGTGTCAGGGGAAGGAACTACTTAGTTTGATCTGAGTTCACCTATTCGGCTTCATGTCTTTCTCTCCATCCTCAATATCTCCCATCGTGCCATAGCAGCCACTTGCAGCAGCAGTTCCTTTGCTATGGAGAGCTCCAGGCCTGCTCATTCCCACTTCTGTGCAATGGGAGCAGCAGGACCCTTAAAAGGAAGCAGCTATATAGCATTCATAACATTATGCCTGTGAGCCTCTGTCCGCACACACCATGCCTTACAGGTAATGCCACCTAGACCTCCATGTGAGTGTTGCTACTGTAAAGAGATTTTGCTGTCAGACTGTATGACTCAGTGGTTGGTGTTGGTTATTCTTGCTGTGGTGGGGCTGTTGGTACTGTCTGTCAGTCAAGCTGGTTCAGGTACTTCAGGTGTGAAGACTATCGGGATCTAGATGTTGTCACAAATAATGGTTTAATGTGGTGCAAGTGGTGCTGGTGCGAACATTACAGTAAAAGCTTTCTCTTTTCCATGACATAGTAAGGCAAATGTGGCGTTGAAACACACAGTAAGTGACAGACATGTGCCTCTTTCTAGGGTTGAATATTTATCAGCAGACTGCAGGTTTTTTCAGGTATACAAGTTGTTCAAAAAGCATCACTTCAAAACTGATTTGGAGTGTTTGCTTTTAGTCGTTTGTGTTTATGCAGTGGATTGATTGCAAAATATTAATGGCTCGATGTGATTAGTAAGTGTATTACTAAATTTGTTCCTGTGATCAGACTAGATAAACTCATGTGTGTTTCTAAGTACTTGTATAGTATAAATTCAAATTTTTATCCTATTTGAATGCTCCTGCATTTACCTTGAAAGGTTTTGGGGTTTTTTTTTTGCAATAACTATTTCTCCCATCAACACTGAGTTACCCAGTTTCACAAGAACTGGTTACCAGAGATCATATGGCTGACCAGAAATAACTGACAACTGGATAAATATCTATAGCTTTTTTCAGGATTTAACATTGTCTTTTGTACTAATACAGTAGTTCAGCTGCTGTTCCTGGTTTATTGATACAGCTATGGTTTTTTTGCATGGTGACAGTCACTGGTGTTTCCCAGTCACTGGGAACTAACTGTTTTCAGTGTGCTGTTTGTTTGATTCACTGTATTTTGGCAGAGCTGCAACAAATTCTCCAGTGTCTCCCTACTTCAGCTGTATCATTGCTTTGTTGTAGTAGAGGTTGTTTCTATTTATTTGGGTTCTACTTTTATTACAGTTGCCTTACTTGATCAAGGCTGAAACATCCTTGTTGAATTCATAGCTCATAATCTATTTGCTATAGGTCACTTTTTCAAAATATAAACAGTAAGGGGTCACACAACATTTAACTTCTCATTTTAAGAACAAGCTGGGCTATTTTTATAACTGCAGGTTTGATTGACATTTAAAGTCTTTCTTTTTAAAAGCAAGATCATCTAGAGGGCATTGAGGTCTGAAGCTTTTCATTTGCCCATCAGATTGATGGTGATTCAAGAGTTTGAATGGGTTAATTTCTGCCTTCATTAATGTTTTGAATAAAAGTAAAGCTCACAGCAGCATGGTTAGAGCTGGAGGCAGTCTACCTGGTATTATTGGGATTGCTGAGTTCAGCTGAGAGCTCCCTGGAGTGTGGGGAATTCTGGATGTCCAGGTTCCCTGTGGCACTAAGGAATCATGAGGATTTATCTTCTTTTACCTGCAGGTGTTCGTCTGGACCGAGTCCGTGGAGGCCGTCAGAAATACAAGAGGAGGCTGGATTCTGAGAGTAGCACTTATCTGAGCTTACAGATCCCCCCACCAGCTAAAAAGCCACGTATGTATTGGTCTTGAATTGTGGTCCTCTGAGCAACTACTAAGTTTCTTTTTATCGGTCTCCCAAAACGTACAATGGAGCAGTTGTCATTTCTGATTCCCGTATCAGTCACAGCACTGGGATATTTTTCTTATGATCATAGTGCAGAGGTAGATTAGGTTTACCTAAGGTACAGCCCAGGCGCTGTATTCATTGTACCTAGGGTTAAATATCAGACTTTTCCTAGGAGATTATGTAAATCCATCTAGTGATATTCTGATCTTTTCCTGTATCCAAACTATCTTAACAAAAATGGTCCCATGCTGATTTCTCTCTTCCATACTACCCGTAGTTCTCTAAGCTTTTCCACATCCCACCAACTGATTATTTGTGCCTCCTCCTCCCCTTGTTGGACCTCCCTGAGACAATGCCTGACAACTTTACAGTAGCTTCCTGGTTTTGTCATCCCTGTACAGAGCTGGTTTGACATAGGCAGATCACTACAGCTTGTGGAGCTGCAGTGTAGTCTTCTCCCATTGTGACCAAAACCATTTCTGAGGTCCTATGGACTCTATAGTCATGTCTTATCCCAGGAAGGTCCTTCTAGAAAGAGCTGTTATGACACCTTATGTCATGAGAGATACAACAACAGCTTCTCCTTTGAAATGTGCAGTGACTAAGATCGTCTCCCACTTGCTGGTGGCTGAGCCAGAGAAGATTTATGCCATGCCTGATCCAACCATGCCAGAGAGTGACATCAAAGCCCTGACAACCCTCTGTGACCTGGCAGACAGGGAACTGGTGGTGATCATTGGCTGGGCAAAGCACATCCCAGGTAAACAGGGGGAATTACAAGGGTATAAGCATGAACAGCAAAGGGAGCTATTATTTATCACTGTGCTTATCAGTTTTGTCTTCAACCAGGATTTTTACATATAGTGATGGGTGGAAATTACTGTCACAGAAAACTGCTTGTGGTGGGCTCTCATTGGTAACAAACTTCAATATAACCTATGGTGTAGGTCCATAAGTTGATGACTGTAGGTGTGTGTGTGCCCTGGGATTACACAGAAGGCTTTGAGATGGTATGATAGAGTTCTCAGTTGTACCTGGCATTGAGAGGCACAGAGAAAACACTTGAGAAACAGCCCTTGGGATGTTATGGTATGGTATGGTATGGTGGACTTCAGAGATTTTGCACTGTATCAGCATGCCCATCTCTGTTGTGTTTGTAGATGAATAAATGTTATGGCAGTGACTGTACTTCACTGCTAATGACAAGGCAAGTACCCACCCTGTCTGTAGTGGGCATTCTTGCCCAGACTCAGGAAAGCTTTTGTCATACTGGGTTCATCATAGAACAAATCCCATTGGGATGGAGGACATACTCACTATTGTCAGTCAGTCTTCAGGCTTCTACGCTGACAACTACTGAGGACAATTTATTGGCAATGTGACTGGCCTCACATGGCTCACTGACTATATCCAATGAGTGTCTGTATGATTGAGTGACATAGAAAGTGTCTCACACCTGCAGGTAGGATGGACCCAGGCTGAAGGAGGAGACATGGCCCTTTACGGGATTCTGGGGACAAAGATTTGGACTGGGGAGGGAAAATGCCTCCTCTCTCTAGTTCCCCCCTGCCAAAAAAAGACAGGTTGGATGTGGGTGTGGAGAAGGTTGGCCAGGGAACTTAGGGGTTGTCCTTGGGGTCTACGTGGCTGCTTTCCAAAGACTGCTTCTGACATTCACTATGAACAGCTCACCACAGCTATCTCCTGCCTTCTATCCCCCTTCCTTGTATCGGGAGAATATCTGAAGCTCAGCCACAGGATCACAGGATTGCATGTTGTCTGTGTCTTTCACTACATGGGTCTGTGTTCTCTTGCTTTGCTTCTTGGCTTTAGGTTCTTCCTTGTTTGGTGAGGCATCTTAGCGCAAGTGATCAGACAGTTTAGTTCTCCCGTGTATTTTGTTTCTCTTTGTAGCTCCTCTTTTGGCTTTTTGGTGGTTGCTTCTCTTTTTCAGAGGGGGTATTTCTTCTGTGACTCAAGGGTTATTGGTTTCCTGGGCTATATGGAATATGGACTGTTACATGGTGGGACTGTAAAATCTGGAGAAACTTTTTCAGGACACTGTTTCTGAGTAGAGGTTAATCTCAGTGGTGCCCTTCTTACACAAGATCTGCAGTATCTGCAGGGATTACACCCGTCACTAGTGCTGGAATCCATCTGGGGCTGATTCATCACAAGTGGGGTTACAGTGGCGATTAGGGATCTCAGCCTAGATTGCTCTACTAACCCAGTACTTGGGGTGTTAACAGGAATGGTTTTACTGCAATGCGGTTAGCTGCTACGGCTGTTCAGTGAGGTGCTGTTGTATGTTCTTCTAACCTTGGCTATTTATGGTCGCACAGGGTGTCCTGCTGTAGTTCCCTAGCTTGTGGCTGTGGGATGATCACGGGATGCTCAGCTCTGAGTTCCTACAGAGTTTTCCAGCCTGCCATGGTGATATTATCCCAGAACAGTAGTGTAGCAGAGATTACTTCTGCACTGTAATCTCAGGCTCTTCTCTCTGAAAGGCAAGACACACATGCCATCATCTCCATTTACTCTGTGTATATTCTTTTCCGTGTATATATTTTTTTCTTTTATCAAAGCCCCTGCAACCCAGTAACAGCCATCAGCCTGGCACAGTTCAGACCATCAGGAGTATTGTAAGGAGACTGTGTGTACAGGAGAGAGCTCGGGGATTGTTACACAAGGGAGCAGTACTGAGAAACAAATATAATAAAGAGAGTTCATAAAAATGCAACAAAATACCCTGTAGTTCTGAAACAAATATGAAACATACTGAGTTAGGCAGCAAGGGGGCAGAGCAGGGCAGGGCCAGAAGGCTGCCAGGTATCTAGATTTTCCATGCCCCGTATTTTTGCCTTCCAAGGATTTTGAGCAAAACAGGACATTGTTTCCTGTGTGCATGAGATGGAAAAAGGAACAAAAGTCACATATTCCTGCCTTGTGTTCACACTGGAATTAGTAACAACAGTGTGATGTTACGGTCATACCAACCCTTCAGGATCCCAGGTGTCAGCTCAAACTTCTACCCCACAGTGTTAGCAAATAAAATCAGTTAAGCTTAAAGACACTTTTCCTATAATAACAAGAAAGCATTATTTAATGGTGTTTAGCAAACATTATTCGCTCAATAGACTTATTAGCCAGTAGCTCAAAACCCACACTTAGCCAACGTGGAGTTGTCCCTGCCTGTATGAGGGCGCCCTCCACACTACTCACCCTCCCTGCTGTGCTAATTGTCTTTGAACAACATCTACCTTTTCTGCGTGCCTTGATGCAGGCAGACAAGACTTCTCTTGAGGGCTGACGATGAAGGCTCTCCCAGGATAGCTGTCTTGCTGTTCTCACTAGGAAGACGATAGTACTAGCACAGAATGAAATATAGCAAGTAGAGTGACAGCAGCTGTGTCTGGAGTGGCCTCAGATCCTATAATTACATCTCCCTTTATTACCTCTGCTAATGGCCCTCCAGGATGACAGAAATGATAATAAATTAACAGATTATGAACTCCACTTGCCACAAATTATGTGACTTTTTTTTTTTTTTTTAATTCTGGAAGCTCCCACTGCCAAACCACTGAAATAAAAAAAAAAAAATCACAAAATATAAAAAACCTGGATGTCACATCCACTATTGCAAATAAAGCAGCTTTTCTCAACCTGCACCTGGGAAGGAGGGAAACATGTGCAGCTCTGTGCTAGAGACAGAGGCTCCTCTTTTGGGAGCCTAGGGACGGCAATGGAGCATTCAGCACCTTTCAGGATAAGACCTGCGCAAAGCAACAAGAAACAAGAACAATAAGGGCACTTTCTGGATGCTGTGCCATCAAACAGCTCAGGAATGCAAAAGGGCTGGATTCCAGCAATTCCTGGGAGCTGTAAGATGGCGAGGCAGTTGAATTTCACAACTAGAGGTTCTCCAGTATTATAACCTTGTAACAGCAAGCCTGTGATTTTGGCCAGGTGAAATTAGCATTTACCTTTCCTGATCTCAAGTTTTATAGCATGGGAGACCCTAGGTTGTCTGATCTTCCCTTGCCTGTGCAGACTGCAATGATATAGGCAATGTCCTCCAGCCCTTACATTCTACATGTGTAAACATTGGAGGAAAAGGGTCCCAATTCTGTCAGATGTTTCAACTCCAGGCTTGGCACCGCAGCACTCCCACCGTCATGCCCGCCTGCCAGAGCTACAGTCGTTGGCTACCTGGGAATGCTTCTGGCAGGGGCCTGTCAGAGCTGGGTAGGGCAATTGCAGCTGGCTCTTCTGTTCTCCTTGGCACAGGGTAAAGCATGGTCTCTCCTGTACAATTCCCACCTGCCATAACTGCCT